TTTCTTTTAAGTAATATTGTAGCTGTTCTTCTCCGCCTATATATTTCAATATTTTTTTATTTGTATTTACAATCTAAAATATATAAGATTTGTTATTATTAATAGTTAAATCGATATTAATCATTAATAGTTTATATTACAGAGGCTATGTTTTGTTTAATGATTAGATGTTGTTCGTCAGTACCAGTTACAATAAAGGAAAAAGCTCGAAAAAGGCAATTTCCATCGCCAATAATATTTTGTGTTTCACATGGATGGTTCAACATTTCATTTCAAAATCAGTTTCATCCAAACTTTTTTTTAAATCAAGCTTCAGTGCTCTACACTTGGCCTGTTACCAGTGTCTTCCAACAGGGTTGAAATACCTTGTTTCATTTTGCATGCTTAATGTCTGTACATACTCAACATCCATAGGTATTGTTTCTGAAGAATTTCTTTCTTAATATTGTTTTATGTTTTTTATTAAATGTTTAGTTTTCAATATTTTTTCTCCATTTTTCAATACACATAAATTGTTGTTAATAATTTTGTGTATTGAATAGGGACCAATCCATGGCATTAGAGCCCATCTTCCTTTTCGGTCGTCACACGTCTAAGATTTTTTAACAAAACTTTATCTCCAACTTTAAAAATACTATCTGCACGAGGATATCTTTTGGCATACGATGTTTTCTGTAAATCTTGTGCATTTTTAATGTTCTCTGATACATTGTCTTGAATTAAATCTAAACATTGAAAAGGTTAGTTATTATGGTGTACTTACATCATCAAATTATTAATAACTTTTATGTCACTAAAATTTTTGAATATTATGTGTTTTGAAAATTAGGATTACCTAATTTATTTGAATTAAGAGTATCTATTATGTTATAAATTATAATTTATAAGAGGAATTATATGCACTAAAAATGTACATCATATGTATCATATATGCACTTAAATTTTAATCAAATGTATTTAGTTTAAAAATGTATTCATTAAATAATTAATATGGAACAAAAAAAAAATGTAATAAATGCCTAGTTGACATAATTTTATTTTATTTTGTATGATGTATTCAATTGTATATTGCATTTTGAACATTCATTCAACTAAATAAAACTCATGAACACAAATCAATTAAAACAAAGTTAGTATATTTGTATAATACAATTAAGTTATCTGGAGAGTTACACTTAACTAATAAAGACTTGAATACATTTTCAAATAAAAATGCATATCGATCTTTAGCAAGGTTTTTTCTTTTCACATTAATTGCAGGTTTTACATAGGACATAGCGTTAAGTATTAGTATTAATAACTTAATATGTACTATTTTTCATAAATATGCATTATATTTCAGAAAAATAGTAAAATATACATACAAATTAAAAATGTTCCAAATATGCAAAAACATACAACTCTGGGCCCTATAATTATAATAGGTATCTCTCAAAAATTATTTAAGTAATTCTGATTTTTTTTAAATTTTTATTTCTATATAATATAGTTATAATATAATTCTATATTTTATCTAATATAAATACATTTTACAATATACATGGGCGCCCCCCATAGGTAACATTTTAGGGGAGGTCAAAATAAAAAAAATTTTGAATGTAAGATAATAAAGATTTAATGTCATTTTTCAAATATAAATATACATGCATGTTATATTCTTATTTGTATATATAAATAAAGTGTATTAATAATAATTGCATTAAAATAAAAGTATGTACTGTCCTACTAAGCCTAATGGCCGTATACGCCATGTTAACATACGTAACATGTTTTTTTATACTGTAATTTTCTAAATTTAATTTCAATTTTTTTATGTGCTAAGCAAAATTGTCGTATGAGCCATTATTTACAAGATAAACAGGGAAATGCATATACGGTTTTCTAAAAAGTATGGAGTTTACTAAGCAAAAAGGCAGTATCTACCATGTACTAAGCCAAAATGCAGTAAGTGATCTCACTATACAACTTTTTTCCTTAGTATGGGTTCACATACGTCTTTTACGCTAAGGAAAGGACATCTATTTTCAGCCGTATGTGACTATTTATAGAAACATTAATAAATATTATCATGATAAGATTCATGTTGTTTACTTCACGTATTATAATTCTTGTCATTGGTTATAATTTCGTATTTGTGACGTAATATGATTTGTGTTTATCATGGGTTTTAAACTATATTGTTTATATTATTATTAGTATTATATTGCTTTCTAATCACAAAATGTTATTATTGTGGATTTGAGGTTAACCAAATTAATTAAATTGTTAACGAAAACAATCACATATTTTACTATCTCATTCATAAATGTATCATTGTATCTATGATTATAATATAATATATTATAAATAAGTACATTTATATTTCTGTTTTACTCTTATTTATAGGTTATAACATAAAAATTAAAAATTAAAATGAATCGGTCTCGTGCGGAAAAATTAATTATTTTAGCTAAGAAATCAAAAAATGATGAAAAAACTAATCGAGGTAAGATTATTTTCTCTTTAAACTAATATTTTAACTAACATTTACTATTTATATTATAAATTATTAGTCAGTGTATACATATATGCCTAATAATTTTGCCAGTAAAATATACAGATGGGCATCATTGATGTGGTTAGTTAGAAGCTTAGATCATGAAGGCATCCAATTAATATTATTTTTTTTAACCTAGGTAGTGATAAGAAAGTTACAATTAAAACTAAAAGAGATGTCACCAGCAATAGTTTACGTCAAACAGAGAATCCATTTGAAAATAAAATGTACAGTTTAACTGGTAAGTTATAGTTTATGTTTCATTTAAAATGTTATATCCATAAAGCATCAAAGTGTTTTAATAGTTTTTCTATTACAGGAAGTAGTAAAATTGATACAATCAAAATGGATGTATTTACAAGCAATGATTTACCTCTTACCTACCCAGGAAATCCTACAGTATGTAGCTCAACTAGTAAGTTACACTTTATATTTTATATACATTCTTCATACATTTCAAAGTCATTGCTTATTATTTGTTTATCACCTATACCTACTATATGTTATATTTTTTTGAAGTTCAAATAAGATTATTATGATATAATTTTTTTGTACTATATTAACAAGGTAACATAAATTACTATCAGGGGTTAAAGTGGGAAAAAATTCCAAAGGGGACTTATGTCTCCACATAGTTTTAAGCGTTCCATATATAAATTTATGTATAATGTCAACTGTATAAAATCCTAATTTGTTAAAGGGGACGCTTTTTAATCGCCGTCAGAGGTAGGGGGACTGAGTCCTCCTGCGTCCCCCACTTTAACCCCAGATTACTATACATATAACTATTATATTATATTTTATTATATTACTATGTATAATATATATATATGTATATATGAATATATTAATTTTTGTTCATTAAAAATAAATATATTATTTGAATTATGTAGAAACTTCATCAATATCAACTACATTGGATGACTCTTTTCTTGATGCTGATTATGTTCCACCAGGTGAAAAAAAGAAATTTGAAGAATCTAGTTTTGATATTAGTCTTCCAAATCATGAAGCAGTCAATTTAATAGATAATATTTGTGATACAGGTAATATTTTGTTTTATTTTATTTAAAAAAAAATTAAACTAAATTATTTATTTATTATTTAGTTTGTCTAGAATTGCAAAACAATGCTGAAAATGCAATGAATTTTGAAGAAGTACATGAATTCATACCAGAAACTAATAGTGACACTGAATTTTCCTTTGAACTTTATACAAAAACTGGAGAGATAAGAAAACGTAAAAAATTCAAAATGAATCTGAATAAGAGAAAACAAATTAAACAAAAGAAAACTGCAACAAAACATCAAGTTCAAGACCCTTGTGATATAAATAAATGTAAAGAAAAATGTAACGCTAATATATGTAGTGAACAGCGGCACATAATTAATAATCAATTTTGGGCTATGGCTGCATTGCAAATAAAACAATTTATTTTAGGTGCCTGTTATACTTCAGCAGTAAAACGAAGAAGAAGTGGAATAAATAATAACAGAAAAAGTAAAACTTATAGTTATTGTTTAACTGACCATAAAGGTGTATCTGTTGCAGTATGTAAATTTTTTTTTTTTGACAAGATTAGGTTTCAAAAGAAACAATTATAAGGTGGTTTCAAATATTCTTAATAAAACACCTACTGGTAACATTACACCTAATACAGAAAAAAGAGGTAAACTAGTGCCTCACAATAAATATAACACAGCGACTTGGTTAGTGAACATATTGAGACATACCATCCAACAATATCTCACTATAGGCGAGAGCATGCTCGCAATACTCGTTATTTACCAAGTGATATAAATGTAAAAATGATGCATCAAGATTTCATTGAAAAATATCCTGACCGCAGCATTTCATATGATTTTTACAGAGGTAAAATAAAGGAAAAAAACATTTCTTTTGCCAATTTAGGACACGAAGAGTGTGAGTCATGTGAGAAATTTAAACTACATGGTCATGATAAAGAGTCAATAGAAAAAGACTGTGATATATGTACTAATTGGAAAATATACGAAGAAAAATTCATGAACGCAAGAAATCTATACAAATTACATGTAAGTGAAAAAGATAATTTTAATGAATGTCTAACGATTTCTGCAGATTTACAGAAAGTAATAATGCTACCAAGAGCAGAAATGTTCAATAAGGTCATTTTTACAACGCGCATAATAGCATATCATGAAATTTTTGTTCCTGTTGGTAAAGTTAGTTCTCATAAACCACTAGCTTGTATATGTCACGAAGGTATTACGGGTTAGGTGAAATAAAGAAGATTTAATAAGTACATTTTATATGTTTTTAAAAACCAAAAGAGATATACCTGTTATTAAAATTTGGTTGGATAATTGTGACAGCCAAAATAAAAATTGGTGTCTGTTTTCTTTTCTTGTATATGTTGTGAATTCATATGAAATATCAACTAATGAAATAATAATTTATTATTTTGAACCGGGACACACTTTCATGAGTGCTGATAGTTTTCACCACCAAGTGGAGATGGCATTGAAAAAACAAAATAAGACCTATGATTTCAATGATTTTGAAGATGCTCTTAAGAGTACTAATAAAGGCAAATTTGATGTGAAAGTAATGGAACATGACTCATTCTATGATTGGATAGATTATAAATCTTCTCAAAAACTAAAACAATGCCGTGTTCTTTTAAAAGATATTGTTTGTATAAAAGCTGAGACAGGAAAGTTTGTTTTGCAATATAAAACCAAACTAACTGAAACGGAATTTAAGGAATTAAACTGTATTTGCAAAAAAATTATGAAAAAAAAATGGTATTTTGATGGTTTTGCCAAAAGTTAAACCATGTGGTGTGGCCAAAGAAAAGGTAGAGAGTATACTACAAAACTTGAAAAACATTTTACCAGAAAATCGTAAACTGTTTTGGGAAAATCTCAATATAAACAATGATTGATCATTATGTATTATCCATAGACATAGACTTATTATAAGTCCATGGTATTATTATTATAATTATAGTCATGTAAAAATTATAATTAACTATTGTAATGTATTAAGTAACACCAATTAATATTTTATATACTTTATTGTTAACAATGTGATTGATATGTTTTAGAGTTAAGTTAATATCCTAGAATTAAGATTTACATCATGAGTGTTCTCTCAGAGAGCCTCTGATACGAGAGCATGGTTTTTATCATGATGTCTGGCAGTTTGATAAGATGTGTGATAACTTGTCTATCAGTCTTCACTGATACATTCATATATTACATCTCTCTGAACATTTTTTTTTTTATTTTTAGTAATAAATTAACTATAGGAAAACAAAATTACATCTTTAAATATTTAAATATAAACATAAACATATTTAAATATTTTAACATAATTAACTCTTATAATATATTTTTTTTTTTACATAATTACCAACAACTTTAAATAAAACCAATGTATCAACATCACAAAAATGTATTAAAATGTATCATTTTATTTTTTTTTTATTTTTTTTTTTTTTTATATTTTATAATTTTTTTTTTGAATTTTTCTCCCAAATCTGTTCACTTTATATTTTGAATCTTCCTCTTCATTTACTGTTTTTGAATCACTATTCTCCTCCACTATAATCTCTGCCTCTATCTTATCATCATTTTCTTTTTTTCTTCATTTAAATTAATTTTTTTATTTGACCAATATTTATTTTTCAAATTATGTTTACTGTAATTAGCTGTATTCATATCATGTGCAGATCTTGAGATTTTCATATCTACTTCATTTCTTCTCTTAATTCTATTATTTTGGTCTCTTAAAATATTTGACCTTGGTGCCTTGTGACGTTGAATAAATTTAGCAGGTTTCCAGATGTTATGTTCCTTAAAAATTATGTCTTCGTTATTATTTATATCTAATTCTCTGTCTTTTGAATTTTTATCATAATAGTATTTTTTTGTTTCATTCTTCTCTTTCAATATTTTATTAAAATTTTCTATTATTTTGGGTTTTAGTAATGCATCTTTTATTGGAAGTTTTGTCTTACATATTCTACTTAATAGTAATTGAGCAGGTGCTATATTTGTTCCTGAAATTGGTGTATTTCTGTATTCCATCAGCATTAATTGTAATTCAATTTTTGATTCATCACTTTTTTTAAAAATTTGTTTGGCTATTCTTACACATTTTTCTGCAAATCCATTGCGTTTTGGGTAATATGGACTTGACGTTGTTATTATAAAATCCCAATCTTTACTAAATAGTTTTATTTTTTTCGAATCAAATGGCATATTGTCTGCTCTGATTTCTCTAGGTATTCCATGTATTTAAAAAATATTTTTCAACACTATTATTATGTTTTCAGTATTTTTTGACTTTAGTTTTACTAATTCGATCCATTTTGAATAATAGTCCCCAAGCACCATATATGAGTTGTTTTTGTATTCTAAAATATCCCATCCAATTTTTTGAAATGGAAGGTCAGGTTGTTCTTCTATTATCATTGGTTGTTTACAATTTTTGTAACTGAATTTTTCACACACTCTACACTTAGCTATTACATTTTCTATTTCATCATTCATGTTAGGCCAGTAAAATAGCATTCTTGCTCGGCCTTTTGTCTTAACTATTCAACTTAATTAAATTTATTACAGGCAAACAAAAAATTGCTAAAAATTCTTTATCAATTTGCCCATAATTACATTCCACCGGTGATAAACTTTTTGAGGCCTAACATATTGGTTTTCCATTTTTTAATAACACACACCCTATACCATTCATGTTACTATCTGTTTGTATCGTACTCTTGAGGTTTGGATTGCAATTTTGTAACACTGGTTCACTTGTTATTATATTTTTTAATTTTCTAATACATTCCATATGAACTCTGCATTTTTCTTAATTAATTGTCTTAATGGAGATTTCAGCTTCATTTGGCATAAAATTACGAAGATAGTTTACTAATCCTAAAAATCTTTGCAAATCTTTTTTATTCTTTGGTTGATCATAATTTTCTATCGCAGTTATTCTACTTTTATCGGGTTGTACTTTACCTTCACTAAATCTGTGTCCTAAATATTTTATTTCATTGAGCATATATTGAAATTTATTTTTGTTGAACTTTATATTATTTGCCCTAGCTCTTTCAAGTAGGTACTTCAATTAATATTTTATTATGTTCTTCTTCTGTTTCAGCATGTATTAATATGTCATCTACATATATAAAAACACCTTTTATATCTTTAAACAATTCTGTATTATATTTCTGAAATACTTCTGCGGCTACTGATATACCAAATGGTAGTCTATTAAACGAATAACACCCGTAAATTGTAGAAAATGTACAATATTCTGAGCTTTTCTTATCCAAAAGTATATGAAAATATCCATCCTTTAAATCTAAGCAACTGAATATTTTCGATCCTCCTAACTCAGCTGATAAATCATTTAATGTTGGTAACGAAAAGTATTCCTTTTTTATAGCCATATTTAAATCCTTTGGATCCAGACATATTCTTATTGATCCATTTGGTTTTTCCACTATTACTATTTTATTTACCCAGCTGGTGGGTTTGTTAATTTTAGATATAATTCCAAGTTCAGATAAACGACTTAGTTCTTCTTTTAACTTTTCTTTCACTTTAATTGGAACTCTGTGTGGAGGTTTTGATATGAGCACATGATTTTTTTTTAATTTAATTGAATATGGTTCCTTAAAACAACATACCCCTCTAAACACATCTCTATATTTATGCATTACTTCAATTTTCTTTATAATTGATTTCTTTAGTTCATTAACTGCTGTTCTGTTCATTAATTTTAGTTTGAGACAGGTTTCTAAGCCTAGGATAGATACTGCATCATTTTTTGCAACAATAAAGTTTTCATGAGACATGACGTTTTTGTTATTTAATACATTTATTTTCAATTTGGTTATGCCTATCACTTCAATATTTGTGCCCCCATAGGGTTCTACATGTATGTTCTTATTATGTAGTTGTATGTCCTCATCTACTGATCTTAAAATTTTGTTATACGTTTTTAATGAAATTATATTCACATCAGACCAAGAGTCTAGTTTAAATTTTATTATTATTTTATCTGCAACTAAAACGTTCTCTACCCAAGTTATATGATTAATTTGTCTATTTTTTTTAGTTATTGAATCACAAAAATACTCATTTTCACTTTCGCTAGATGCTTTGTCTTTACCTGTATTACTTTTAAGTTCCCTTACATTGTTTTTATTTAAATTTGTTTTACATACCTGAGCGAAATGATTTTCTTTACCACACCTCAGACATTTTCTTCCTCTTGCTGGACAGCTTTCTGCATCTGTATGACTTTTTCCGCACTTCATACAGTTTATCTTTGAATCCACTGGCATCTGTTTGTATTGATTCTCATAATTTTTTTTAAGTTGATTATCTTCTTTTCCTCATCTTTTATTCTTATCATAATATGTTCTTCTTTGTTGATATTGACCTTTTTTTATATTGTATTGCATCAACACTAATTTCTCTTTCTGCTGGTATTTGTTTAGTTTGTACTTTTCTAATTTCTGCTAGTCTCAAATGTTCTATAGCATCTTGCAAACTTAACTCACTCATTTTTATAAGTATCTCTTGTGTCTCCATATCATTAGTTCCAAGTACCATTTTGTCGCGTATAAGTTCTTCTTTATTTGTAAACTCACAGTTTTGGTCCAAAGTTCTTATTTCTGTTAAGAAATTATCAAATGATTCACCCTCTCTTTGTTTTCTATTATAAAACAGAAATCTGCATGTAAAATATTTTTCTTTGGATTGCAGTATGTTTCAAATAATTTTATTTCATCATCATATGTTCTTGGTTTACTTGTCTTTTCAAATGTATTATACACCTCCAATGCGTATTCGCCAATTAAATTCAGCAAAATTGCCACTTTTCTGTCATCATCATTTTTATTCAAACCACTTGCTAATAAATAAATTTCGAATGATTGTTTAAATCGTTTCCAATTTTCACTCAGATTACTTTCAAGTTTGAGTTGGTTTGGTACATTGCAATTGTTGGCCACGGTTATAATTAAGCCTGTTCTTTACAAAACCGACTGCGCCATGTAATGTATTAAGTAACATCAATTAATATTTTATATACTTTATTGTTAACAATGTGATTGATATGTTTTAGAGTTAAGTTAATATCCTAGAATTAAGATTTACATCATGAGTGATCTCTCAGAGAGCCTCTGATACGAGAGCATGGTTTTTATCATGATGTCTGGCAGTTTGATAAGATGTGTGATAACTTGTCTATCAGTTATAACACATATTACTTCACTGATACATTCATATATTACAACCACGGTCTTAGAAGATAAGGTCCGACGACTGTCCCCCTCCCGCCCATTATCTGGTATCCGCTTGTTGAGGCAGTTTTAGTTCCTATTTAACTCACTAGCGCTGCAGGTTATACTTATTTGAGGTTATGTATTTAATTATTAAAAACGATCATGTCATGTCCGGGCCGGCAGGTGGCATGCCGTACTGCCTTAGTGCTAGTCAAATAGTCGATCTACATCATCTAATATTCTAATGTCTATAAACATATGAACCGACCAGTTTACTGTGAAATGTAATAATTTATTAAAGACATATTAATAATTAATATATTGAATAACGTGAACATTTGAAAACATTAAAATATAAAATAATAAAATATGCCATAAGTACTGATACAGTTGTTTCTTATTAGGTATTTAATTTTAAATAGGTACGTATTTGCACCACCCATCATGGTGTTTTAAGTTTTACAAAACTTCGCAACTTTTTTTTTATTTCTGTTTTCTGTTTTTTATTTTTATTTTCCTGGTATGTGAATTGCCTCATTCTCATTCTCACGTAATAAATAACAGCAAATGAAATAATATTTTCTCCATGAGTGACACAAGGGAAATTTGTTATGTGCTTTTCATTGATCATATCATCAATTATTAGATCAAAAACGTGAGTTGATGAACAATGTTTCATAAATTTTTTTCAATTTTCTGAATAAAATTGAAAAAAAATATATTTGGATGAATTAATCGCCCTTTGGTTTTCATATTGACCAGTGTCGCAGACAATTGCTGAGAATAAACCCGTGGAGTGGCAAAAGCTGACTTACAAATTGTACAATCATTTATGTACCTACTTCAACAGTTATTTTGATAGGCAACCTGAAATAATTTTAAATCTTTATTTTGTGTATCAATTAAAATTGTTAATATGAATAAAATATGACCTGTTAAATAATAAATTAAACAATCTATAATTTCCGGTTTAGTATAATCATGTTCAACAACATCATTGAATTCCCATTCTTTTTCTTCAATGATATTGTTTAATTTAGTTTTTAAATTTTCAACCAAGTCATATTTTATAGGTTGATAAATATCTTTCAAATCTGTCATAGATAAAATTGGTTTTAATGGAGAATCATCATGTACAGTACAATTTCCACTCTTGGGAGGCTTTAAAATGCTGTAAGTAGATAGTAGTTTATACAATTGGAGAAAATTAGGGGTTGAAGTAGGGCTGGCGGTATTCAAAATTTTGATACCGGTATCCGGTATTTGTTTACTACCGGTATTTACGGTATTACCGGTTATACGGTATTTTCGGTAATTACCGAAAATACCGTACCACGGTCATTACCGAAAATACCGTAACACGGTAATTACCGAAAATACCGTACCACGGTAATTACCGAAAATACCGTACCACGGTAATTACCGAAAATACCGTACCACTGTAATTACCGAAAATAAGGAGGTGAGGTAATTACCGAAAATACAGTACACGGAATCCATACCGCATCTCGGTAAATTTATAAGTGTTTCTAAGTTTCCAACCTAAGAAAATTTACTTTTAACATCTAAAAATCATGTGTAATTATTTATTATTGTTTAAGACTTTAAGACTCCTAATATTTTGTGATATGGTGAAAATAGGAGGGGTAGTTTCTAGAAAAATAATAAATTACTTCTACAAACGAAGAGGCAGAGGATCGTGAGGTAACTGATTTTTTTTAACCTATTTTTTTGGTATTCGTGTTGCTAAAAAGGTTGAGAAACTCTGATCTAGATGCAGGCAACGGTCTGCAAACTGGCAGTTTAGAATCACTCATCTTGTATCTAGAACATGTTGGCTTCATATGTAGATATCTTATAGGTCATATGATATGAGTATATGACTGATATCAGATATGTATTGAATAAATTGTATGAATAAATAAGTAAGAAGCTTAAAATTAATTAATTTTTACACAATATAAATAAGTTTTAAAAATTAAAATAGTAAGATAGAAAAAATATTAATAGTACCTAAGTCCTAAAGATGTTTTACTTTACTTTTTTCATTGATTTAGATTAGTTTTATAGTCAGTAAGAGTAGTAAGACTGTAACAATAAGATCTAGTTAAACTGTTAAATTATGTTTATATGAATTATATTTATTTATTATTTAATCATGGCACAATGTATGTTCATGTCCTTCACTATGTCATTATGGAGTTATGTATTAGCATAATTTAAAAATATTAAATTATAAGATTAAAAAACTTTTTATACATTTAAATTTTAAGGTATACAAATAAAAATTTTATTTATTTGTTTAAATGATTTAAACATTCAACATTATTACATAAACTTTATTAACATAATACTTATATTATGTATAATTTGACATGATAACAATTAACCTTTAATTTAAAATAATACCTATTTTAAGGTTAAAAAAACTGTGAATTTTTTGAAAGAAAAATTAATTGTTCTGCATGACCTGGAGTGAGTGACGCTCGATTATCTGTACATATATTACCACCAGTACTAAAAAGTCTTTCACAGGGTACACTAGTTCCAGGTATACATAAGTATTTTTTGGCCAATGTTTCAAGTTTTGGAAATTCAGCACCAAATTTTCCCCACCAATCTGTTGAATTTGTAGACAAATTCACAAGAGGCATCTGCAAGTATCCAAGTATTTCTCTGTTAATGCTTTCTGCTTCAGATTCTGTAGTTGAAACTTCATTTTCCACTGATAAAGAAGTTGGGTTGTCTAAAAACGCGGCTATGCCTTAAAAACAAATATAATAAAACAAAAATTAAATTACTTAGAAAATTATTGATACTTAATCCCTATTTAGTTTTAGTATATTATTATGATAAATTTATATTTGTTAATATAAATTGAAGATGAGATAAAAGTAAATGTTTTAAATGTTTCATAATATTATATATTTTTTATATAACATTCAATTTTAATATTATGTTTTAAAAGTTTTAACTCGTTTTAATAATTTTTACCTGTATAATGGTGAGTTTTTTTCAATGAATGGTCATTCGCTGATATGTTATTACTTATTTGTTCCATTTCTAATTTTATCTCGTCATGAATAACACCTATTTGGTTTTGGTTTCCAAGATATTTGTTTCTGTGCCGAGGGTCTAAAAATGAAGCCTTTTTCAATAACTTCATAGTTTTCTCGTTACTGGAATATCTTTTTGATAGTGTTTCAAAAATTTCTGAAACAACTAATTGTTCAACATGTTTAAGTGCTTGAGATAATGAATTTGTTTCTGAAGTTTCTTCTTCATCATCTTCACCACCAGAATCATCTATATTGCTGGGTTGTGTGAATATTTCTGTATAGTCATTGTCATCAGTATTTTCAAATAATGGAACTGAGTATTCATTATCACTGAGATTATTATAATCAACATCATTTCTTTGGTTAAGTGGCTTATACATTAATTTCAATTTTTGGTATATTGGCCATAAATCAGAAATTGTAATATTCTTTTCAGATGCCATTGATTCACCCAACAGTTTCAATGGTTCAATTACTTTTAGCAAACGGTTTATAAGCTTCATTTGATTACGTGTGGGTAATAAATTATAATGCTTTGGTATGGTAAAAATTTGTAAAAGAGCCGAATATTGAGTCTTGACAAAATAAAGGCAAGGCAAAACACTCCACCATCTAGTTTCTGATGACGACGGTGCAACCAATGTGGGAAGTTTCAACTGATTTTGTGCTTCTAACAACGATCTCTTCATTTTATTACTGTAATGGAAAATTGAACGTATTCTTGTTGCATTTGTAATGCACATTTTTACAGGTTGAATATTAAATGCACGAGTCACTCCTGTATTTAACGCATGACCAAAGCAAGCAACATGATTAAAATTCATTAAACCAACTGCTTTTATAATATTTGCTCCGCAATCTGTTGTAATTGCTGTAATTTTTTCACTGTCAATTTTCCATTCAAATAATATATCTTTAATAGATCTTTGAAGATTTTGAGCTGTGTGGTCAACATCTAATGAAGTACAGGCTAAACAAAAAGTTTCTAATTTCCACTCATTAGAAATTGTATGAGCTGTCAAACCAATAAAAGGATGCCCATTGTTAGATGTCCAGCAGTCTGTTGTAAGAGCTATGAATTGTACTGAAGAAAGTTTAGTTTGTATTATAAGCCTTATCTCATCATACATTTTTGGTATTTTATGATCAGAAAAATATTTGCGACTTGGTATCTTAAAGTTTGGACATAGAGTATTCATAAGTTGTTTAAAACCTGGCTTCTCAACAGACCTATAAGGTTGCATATCCATACACACCCACCTTGCTATAGAATTTTTATATTTTTCTTCAGTTTGTCTGTCTAGGGGTCGTATAACTCTAATTGTAGATTGGATTTTAGGCTTTTTAATAACATCTGATGACATGGATTGTTGAGCTGGCTGTAAAACAGGACACACTAAGCTAGTAGAAGTTGATAATGTTTCTGTTGTTTGGTTAGACTCCTCTTGTATCATTTCATCTGTACTATCGCTAAAAAAATATATATAATATATAATTGATATTTTAATAACCCATTATTACTATCCTAGGTTGGGAAAGTTAATGTAAATAATTCACTGAGACAAGTTAAGTTAATTCAATTAAACTACCTTCAGTTAAAAGTTAACAAAGAAAAATTTTAATCGATAAGTTGTAAGTTTTATGTATATCTTTTCAATAATTGTACAATGTTGTTGGAAATCAATAAATTATTATAAGTTTAAAGTTACAAAATAAAATAAAATGAACCTAACTCAGTTAAAAAAAAAGTTACACTAATTTTTTTTCAAGCTACAATATTTTTAAGTCATAAAACGCCTTGATTTGTTTGATTTACACAAATAAATGTTTATTTAATACATTTAACATTGTGCATTAAAATATCAGATGATTATAATATATAATATATTATTACAAAATAAATGACCAAAATCGAAAAAGAGTCAACAAATCAGTATTATATGTTGGTTCCGTATGATACAAAAATACAATAAACTTAACTGCACAATAATGATAATTAACTATAAAAAAGTAATAAGTTAAAAACAAAAATAATTAACTACCTAGTCAAGTTAATGCCTACCTTTGTTATTATCAAATAATAAATATATATAATGACATTGGATATCGGTATTTTATTATTTAATATAGGTACATACCTATTTAATTATATTATAATTTATTTAATATTTTAATATTTTTAATACAACTTGTCTTATAGGTGTATATTTGAATTCATAATAATAATTTTAAAAAATTTTCATAATATTTTACCAAATTTAATGAACACTTAAAAGATTAAAAAAATATATATTTTTACTTTACTTAATATTACCTATATTTAATTTGACATTATTGAGAGTAAACTGTATATATTAGAGATATACCAATTACCTCGCCAATTACCATGTACTATTGAATTACTTTTAAGTTTGTAACTGTTATTTTATTTTTGTATTAATTTGCATCTACTTATTTTATATCTACATTATAAATTAATATAAAATAAAACATTTTTAAAACTCACCTATTATTCGAAGTGTTCATTTTATTTAACTCATTATAAATACCAGGATGCATAAACCGTAGATGAGCTACAAGATTACTAGTGTTTCCACCTTTACAAGTCTTGGTCTGACTACAATTTTTACAAATTCCTCCATCTTTCGTTTTATTGAAAAATAACCACACTTTAGACTTCACTTTACCCATTTAATTTCCTACAAAACATATTATAACTTACAAGTACAATTTTTGACATAATATATTACCTATATAGTAGCTATTAATAATATAAGTAGTGTATACATACCTGTTAAGACTGAAATATAATATACGAGCAGTATACGATCAACGAGCATATAATATAAGAGCAGAAAGAACTTGTAGTATAATAATTTAAATTAATAACAGACAACAATTGTTGTATAACAGTTCAACGTGATGTCGAGATATCAATAACAAGGCACTAGTGCATGCAGGACGCGGCAGGTCCTGACAATCGATATTTACGATATTGACCATTTAATAATAATCAAAACAATAATACCACATCGTCAAATG